CGATGGTGCCGATGCTTCTCCTCTACATGATGTACATGTAGTTTACTGGAATGCTTTGATAGACTCTTCTCTCTTGATCTCTCTTTGATTTGAGTTGGCGATTGTTTAAGAGTTGAAGATGGAGGACTAGCTATGACAGTGGAGATTGTTCTTGACTGAGAGTGTTTGGTGAAATCCCTGTTCAACAACCTCTTCTTTTTCTTTTTCAAAGACTCTTGACTGCTACTAATAATAAATTAATAATAATAATGAAACTGCACGTAATTGTACTGCCATTATCTGTTTGTATCTTTCCAGTGTCCCAGTGATATTTTTCAGTAGATATTATTATAATTATTGTTAGTATAATGGTCCCATTTATAAATCTGATACTGATGACTATCAGTTTTAGTTCCTAATGTTAAAAATACATGTACACTATCAGTGGCGAGTTTGTAGTTTTATATTAACATTTGAAAGAATTTACTACAAAACACAAAATTTTTTAGTGACAAAAGTAATTATGAAAAGAAGATACAGAAATAGAATAATAATTATTAATAGGTATAGCAGCAAAAACTATAATTCAATACTGAAAGATTAAAGTTTAAAACTAGCTAATTAAAGGCAGCAATCAAAAATTATCAAAATATCAAATCTTCATCCTTTTCAATGACTCTACTACTTGAGCCATAGTAGGACGATCATTACGTTTAGCATTAAGTCCTCTTTGTATAAGAGACTTCATATCAGACCAGGAGACTCTACCACATTGTCGTGCTCTGTCTGCTGTCGTCATTTCTGGTGGACAGCGTAAATTCATTTCCATAAGGGGAACAGAGTAACTGTAGACATCCATTGCTGGACTGTGTTGATCAGGATCACGAGCTTCTGGTGCAGCATATGCTGGATTGCCTGGCATAACAGTACCAGTACTGGTGCCTTGTTGCAATTTAGCTGTACCATAATCTGCTACTTTAGCTTCATAACCAGCAGCTCCACTGCAAGGCTTTAATAATACGTTAGGACTGCTCACATCTCTGTGAATAATAGGCTGAGGCTTAAACAGGTGAAGGTAGTTGAGACCTAAAGCTACATCTTGAGCAATACTCAGAATCTGTTCATTGGCTAACTCAGTCTCCTGAAGCTTTTTATAAAGATTAGTACTCATCAGCTCGGTCAAGATGAGAGGATTACCCACTTTAGTTGCACCAATAAACTGGACCAGGTTAGGATGGCGTACTCGTAATGCTATACTCATTTCCCTGGAGAAGATACCTAGATTATAATCTGAGATGATGATATTATGAAGTGACTTGACAGCTACTCTTAAACCTCTAAAGATACCAACTGTAACGACAGCATAAGATCCTCTTCCTAACTCCTCCTTTGTCAAAGTCACCTCATCTTTATTAATACTCCAGTGATCTTGAGACTCATGTAGCTCCCTATCTTTCTCTTGCAGTACCACCTGATGCTCCCTATCCTTCTCTTGTAGCTGATGACAATATCTTCTTATTTCTTGCTCTTTCTCTGCTTCTTCTCTTTCCTTCTGATCTAACTGCTGATGAAAAACTTGTGCTTCTCTCTCCTTTTCTAGCAATTTTCTCTCCTTTTCTTCAAGACTCTTCATAAGAGCTATTACGGTTTGCTCAATATCGGCTGTATCTCCTTTTCTTGGTTTCTGGTACTCCTCCAACCATATTCTTCTTCCTGTCTGTAGTTGCTGCTGATACTTCTTCTTGTATTCTTCATTATTCATACCATTGGTATCTAATGTCTCACCTACTGTCCACTCTCCTTTAATGTTAGTAACTAATGATTAGATAAAACAGTTATTTAAAAAAAATTATTAAGTACCGTATACTGGTTAATTTGTCGTGGTAAAATATTTTCACAAATTTTGCAGTTTGTGATTAGTTGTAAAATTTCACTGCGAAATTCTGCTCTCCATTGCCATGTGGTGCAGTCTGCAAGCAATTTGCAAAAATTAATCCCCGCGAAATTTTAGAAATGCAAGATTCAAAAAATTTTCCACCACCAAAATAAACCGGTATACGGCAGACAATAACAATACATGTCAATTGTGGTAATTAAAAAGTAAATTCAGATTTAAATCTTAGAAATGAAAAATAGAAAAGCACATGATAATAATTATAATAATAACACACCCACCTACATGTATGAATAACGTTAATCATAATTATTCATCAATGACAAACTACAATGACATAAATTCCAATGCAGCTGATGGTACACAGGGGCGTATCTAAGCTGTGAGAGTTGGGCGGGCACTGAAGAAGAATATTTGGCACGCGAAGTGCACCACGATTTTGACCACACCCTTTTTACTGCGCTAAAATATTGTTTTCCACGCATGATTAGCTTTTTAAATATTATAGGCGCTGTCACAGTAATTTCAGGCACTCTGGCGCTTCCTACTGCCCTTTAAAGCACTGGAAAATGCTGAAATTGAGGCTGAAATGATTGTTAAATGTGTTGAATAACTTTTATAAGACACTTAGCAGTGATATATATGAGACACCAGAGGTTAAAGAAGCAGAAGAAAGAAATGTTGATCCTTCAGGCTAATGGGGGTGCTCAGGCACCCTTAGCACCCCCTAAATGCTTACATTTTCTTTTGTAGTAGTACTGGCCTACATTGAAAAAGACTCAGTCGATTAGTTTAATATTAAAGTGAATAGTCTAATAAATAAAAAACATTAAAAATGGAAAAGTAGTAGGATTGAATTGGAAAAAAGTAAATAAACAAGAGGGTACTTGCAAACTGGTGTGAGAAGAAATCCTACACCACTGCATGAAGATAAAAGGCTTCATGGTGGTGCTTATGATTATGAA